ATGCCTCGTCTCAGAAACAGATCCCAAAGGTGAAATAGCACTAACAGCTCACTCAACTTAGAAATTTGACAGCCAGGCCGGTGCGGTTACTTTTTTTTGTGAAATCATTGCACCATTAGAAGTAAATGCAGGTAACTGGTGGGAGAAAACAGAGCAGTCAAATCTTTTTCACTATCAACATCATCAGGGGCTCCGATTTCCGCCAGTACAGGATGATATTTCAGGGGCGGTGAAATACATGTGCTCAAGTTGTCAGTGTGGCCCTTTGCACCTGGATTTAAGAGGAGGTTGTGTGTGTGTGTGTGTGTCAGGGGGGCATTTAGTTTTGAACAAATAATCTCCTTCCGTTTTGCTGCTGAGTGAAAAAAAAAGGCAGAGAGGAAGGCTCTGATTTCGTTTAGCAGATTCCCTGTGCTCTGCGCTGGAACCAAGCTAAAGTTACTCTCATTCAGCTGCACTGCTGTTTGGCTTGTGCAGGAGGGGGGAGGTTCAATCCCTGCATTAGCACTGCAATGTCAATGAGGACTATATATCACTGACTGAATGAATGGATTTATGCATATCCTTTGAACGGCAGCATTTAAAGGCAGAGCTCAATATTCTTGAGAGAGGAGTGATAAAAACATAAAAATGAAAGATAAAATATAACTCGATGAAATAAATAAAAACATTTTCTAAATTGGTAAATGGAGCCATCATAATCCTTGCATGCATTTTTTTTTTTCACCTTCATCCAGAGTAATCTTTCTATTATAAAAACAATGTTAAGGCAAGTGGTGGTGGTTTCACAAAAACTGTGTGGGTTGAAGCTGCATCTCCTACTGTAGCTAAGCGAGGACAAGGGAAGGCATTTCTGTGTTATTCTGACATGTGGCGCAACGGGACACGGGCTATATTATACCGAGAGGAGAGGAGCAAAGGCCATGTTCTATAAATAGCCACTGTCTAACATCTTCTCTACCTTCAAGCATTTTGACTAAAAATAGTAAACATTTTGTTTGCAGAAATAGAAGGCGGAAAATATAGCCCTATTCTTTCCTTCATGCTCAGTTCCGGTAGGATTATTTTACACAAAAGGTAATAGGTACTGAAATGGTATAAATGTCATTATGACATAGACAAGCCTATTTATGGGAGCAGGAGTTTTATTTCTGCAGATAGTGGGGAATATTGCACATTGCAGAGCACTGAAGCACATGAGCTTCACTTTGAAGTAAAATTATTTCTGCAAGAAATAAAAGCAACAATAATGTTTATCCACAGTGGCAATTCATTCTTCAGACTGAGACCTGGGAAATGTTTCCACTATGAGTCTATTATTTTGCACTTACACAAGACAGCTTTTAATTAATAAAAAATCACTAGGAATACCAACACCCAAGAATAAAGCATCACGAACGGATTATGGAGTGAAAATTTGGCTTAGCTCACTTGACTGAGAGCTGACCTCCTGGCCAGAGGACGAGGACACTGGGTGAGGACTGACCAAGGGGCAGCAGCAGGGGTGGAGCTGGGGTGGAGGTGGGATGCAAAAGTTATACATGAGGGAGAGGAGGGGATCTCACTCAGTATTTATAGTGTTTTAGGAGAGGAAATGACATTGGGAGTGATTGCTAATTACTGACAGCTAATTCTGATTGAACTTGGTTGTTGTTATCCCTCCAGAAATTTCATTGCAAACTCCATTTACTGTATAAGCAGCTTTTATCTGTAAATTCCTAAAAAAAATTAAAACTAACTATATGCAAAGTGTTACGAGTTTGAACTGGGTTTATGTTTTTCTAAAAATATTTTTTCTTATTATTATTTTACAAATAGGGTTCAAAACAAAGCTCACATTGTCATCATGCATCGTATTTATTTTCCACCAGATCATCTGAACTACCCTTTTGGGAGTTGTCATTAAACACAGAAGAGTTCCCATTGACTGTTAACAGTCAGTATGAATTACCCTTAATAAATGAGTAATTAACTTTAATTCAGATACAACATGCATGTCTCCCACTGTGAAAACAAAACAAAAAACATGAATGACTAGTGTAACAACTGAACAGTCATTCACAACTGGTCATCTGGAAACACTGCAGTGCATGACGGATGCTCCCATCTTACAGGAGACTTAATCAGTCTGAGTGTATTATTTAAATTAGTTAAATATCTCTCTAGCTTTGATTTCTTAGACTATTAGACATGCAGATCCATTCACCAAAAAAGAGCCTGCCTCGGAGTGAAAGAAAATCCACTTATCTGGCTCATGGAATGAGACGTCCCATGTCTCATGTCGTTGTAATCTGTGACATCACTAGCCTTCTTGTGCTTAGATAAACTGTGACAAAAACAATCCAAGGATCCAAGGCAATGCTCACAAGTGGAAGATTTTCTCACTTAAGAATGCTAACTGGGATGAGAGCGACAATTTGGCTAACCTCAGTGGGTCGGATTCAAACACAAACATTGCTCATGAAGCACTAACCGTAACCCACACAAAATCCCACGTCTAGAAACGTAAACAGAAGGAAACGCTAAATCCTAAAGGAATATGGAAGGAATCTGTTCTGTAGGAATACAGAGGCAAAAGAACGGGATCTTTCTGAATGACGTTCTCCAGCGCACTGCCAGAAGAACATGAGACGTGTCGCAAAATTGCATAACGTATGTAGAAAAGGTGAATCATTCTATAATAGAATTTTTCATTTACAGCAGAAAGCTCAAGGGGAAAAAACGCTTGTATGCCTTAAGACAACGGTGTCAGCTGTCAGCATAGGAGACGGAATGAAGACAAGGGTGAATGAGTTTAGAAAGGGGGCAAGGCACTGACATATTAAAAAAAGATGCACCATATCTAAATTTATGTCAAGGTTTCACCACGTAAATAATCTTTTTCTAAAAAAAACATATGCTGCATTTAATTAAGAGAACCTACATTCTAAGCCTTCTGTGACTTTCATATTATAAAAGGTCAGATTTGCTCAGCAAACAGTAGACCACAGACTGCAACCACTATATTTTAATTAAAAATAGGATGACTCCATAAATAAATCACCAAAAGCAATGCACGGCAATAAAAATATCCTATGAAATCAGAAATTATGATCTGGATGATATTAAGGAGATACAGCAAACAGATAATAAAATAACAAAAAAAAAATGATAGAATTGGACTTTGGTCCTGAAGGATTTCATAATTATTGTTAGTATAATCTCTTGCTTTCCGGGAATTTCCCCATATAAAGAGCAAGTGTCACTTTTCAAACTAAAAGAGGCATTCTTATACTCTGGGGAAGATCTGTGATTGGTGTATCCAGCATGTAAGATGATTTCAGTCTGATGAAAATATAATAAAACTGTTTCCAAATCTGGATGAGAAATGAGCTGGATAAAACAACATGCTGGAAATAATTGCACACACACATTCTCATATTCTCTTGTATTCTCTCTCTCCCTACTGCTGCTCACCAGACATTTTCCATGTCTTATTATGCGTTGTGACAGGTCGGACCTTTGACATTTTTGCAGATTTCTTTCTCCTGCCCAGCAGGAGGCTCAAGAGAAGCTGTGTGACTGAGTGCTGAAATAGTACAGTCAAGGTCTTTTCCAGGGGACTAACAAGCCAATTATAAAATTCATTGTGTGCCCCATAATGGTGCAGAAAAAAGAACTCCAATGATCCATTTTTTTTTTTTTTTACACTGAGCAGTGAGAAGGAATAAGTGAGAAGCTGACACTCTGCTCCAGTGATTTCCAGTTCATCTCACAGCAGCTGAAAGTGGCTGGAAAGATTGGAAACATAAAAAATTTGATCTTGTTAATGCAGAAAAAAATATAAATTATTCAGAAGCAAGGTTACTTGCAGCAAGAAGGGGGAAATTTGCTAGTGTCTCCTTAGTAATGCAAATCGAGTAAATCCTGGCTTCATTTCTTGTAGCTCATGGGCTAAAGAGGCCAATACATAAAAATAACACATTGCAATTCCTGACCCAAATCGTATTCAAAAATACCTCAGCTAAATTCACTGCAAGACTCTCTCACAAGTGTTTTGCACTACCAATTCACGTAATGAGTCTATGGTTAACTGAAAGCGACATCCAATGTAAATGCAAAACGTTGCGAACGCCCGTTACATGTAAAAAAATGTTTTTAAATGATGTCTTGACTATTTTATGTTGAGAAAGTAACGAGAAACAAATGTAAGCACTGTTTTTTTCTTGCCAAAGCCCAGTGCCAGTTCCAGCTTCCACTACAAACTTTCTGTTCCTGCTGTGGTCATTACAGCTGCAGTTCACCTTTGTGACTGACTAACAGACTGGACCACCCAGTTCCTGAGCACTATTTTTAATCCTGTTACCATGACAGCCAATTTGTTAAGGCGTTGTTTCTTAATTGGAAAGTAACCTTAGCCCAAACTCAGCTGAAAATTTGTGTAAAGGAATTATTCAACACATGAAAAATACAGCAACCATATCTGATTAACTGCAGAAAAAAAAAATATTTTTATGTTTGTCATACCTCCTTTACACTCTTAAATAACATGTCCATATATTGTTGTATAAAATCTTCAAAGCAAACAATAATACATTTATTTTGCATAATAAAATGCAAAGTAAGGAAGGGGTGTCATCTTGAGACATTCTGGTGCAGACGACATAAACATTCTCCTTCTTGTGTTAAGGAGATGAGTATGTGAATTTAAGCAAATCATATTTTTGTCAGTGAAGCATTTTAAGCAAGAGACTATAATCACACTGGTGACTTCGAGTTAATGAGACTACAGTAAAGTCTACTCCCAATCCCTGATCAAACTAGCACAGAGAGATGTGCTCTTCTAAGAATCCAGCTAAATCCTCTTATTCCACATTTCATTGCGTTTTCTCTGTTTCCATCTTCTGAGATTTGAAAATAAATTAGCCAAACCATTCATTATAAACAAGATCCCTGAATAAGTGCTTAAGTGGCTCATATGATAGTTGCACCTACAGAGTGCTTAATGTACTAGTACTTACAATGCACACATGTCGGACTGTAGAGGCCACAGGTCACTGGAAACCAATTTTTTACCTTCTAAGCTCATCTGCAAGTCCCCTTTGAATCCTGAAACGAAGCAGAACATTGTAGAATAATATTTCAGATGTCTGCAGATGTCAAGTTGGTATAATTAATATTAACCTTTAGAATGTTTCACTTCTCTTCATCCATTAAAACAGATGCCAATATCTTAATCCAGGGACATGACTTCAATTTACCAGTAATTACAGTCGTTACAAGTCAAAACACGAGGAAATGTGCATATTTGTAGAATGTTTTTTGGCCAGTTTGATACTTATTGACATGATAATTCTCTGATATAAACATTATTCCACATTATAAGTCCTAATTCATTGAATTCATTTGAAAACTATTTTTAATTGAGAAGGACACTTATTTTTCCTGTCGTACTGATATCTGCACATTAATGCTGGAGCAATTTCTATTAGAAAATAGGAAGTGAACATCACACTGGCACATGAAGAAACCCTTGGAGAAAGGTGGTAACAGTTTCCTATTTTTCAACCACAAAAAAACATTTCTTTTTGATTGTAAGTAAGACCTACAGTATATTATACAAAAGACGATTTTGCAGGATCCTTTCCATGGAAAAGCTGTGTCACAGAGATAAAGTGGCCTTCCTGGATCCATGTTGGAAGGTAATTGAAAGTTTCCCTTCCCTGTACTGTATTCTCAGACCTCGTATGGGGATAGACAGCCTGTTCCATCTCTGTTTGAAAACTTGCTCAGCCAAAATCCCCTCTAGCATGCTTTGTTTACACCACAGTGTGACTATGCCATCTCTCAAATATATCTTGCCAGGCAGAATTGGCCCCTATTCCTTCCTATTGCTCGTCTTCTAAAAATAAATCGCTCAGTCTGAGTTCAGACGTAATAGTGCCTACTTTTCTTCTGGGCAACTTTAGTCCTCCTTTACAACACATAATTCTCTCTCGTTCATTTATCATCTTTTCTCAATAGATGTTCATTTTCTGAGGTAGCAAAAGTTAACTTTATATTATTGTATGTCTTTTCCACCTCAAATATATATATATATCAAAATGTATCACCACTGACCCTTACATGTGATGGTTTGCCTATTTTTATTTTAGGAAACATATAGTAGACTCAACAAAAAGTGAACAGTATGCAAAGAAACATCCTTATAATGCGTGAACACTGATGTTAGACATTATCAGGCCAATAGGTACTGTAGGTGTAACACGATTGCTCAGTTAGGACGCACCTTGCTATATAATCTTCTGAGACGCACCATTTCCAGGCAAAAGTAGCTTCCAACACTATTCTTCAAAATTATTAAATAACCCCCCCCCACCCCCAAAGATATTATTTCTGTATTGCATGAGCTCAAGCTCCAGATGATACGCTTTTGAAACATGCCATAACAACTCTTCATATCACTTGGATTGTTTATTATTACCCTACAAGTGGCTAGGTGAGATCAATTAGCCACTTGCAAGCAAACACGTTAGATGCTCTAACTGCTCCTTTCTTTTGTAACTTTTGTAATGTTCATACAAAGCCCAATTTCCAAAACACACCTTGCAGAACACACCACAAGTAACTTTTGTTTCTTTTTTCAGCCAAGGCGAAAGCACAGAAGGGTTATTGAAAGGTCCTTTATAATGTTTATAATAATATGTTTATAATGTATCAGGAAAACTGCTCAAGATGAGAGGTGTACAATTATCATACTGCACATTTACTCATTTGTGGTTTAAAAGGCATGGCTACTGCTATGTGTTTTAGTTCTTTAGTTCTTTTGGTTTCCCATTAGGGAACAAGTACTGTACCTGCAAAGTTACACATTCCATGAATCATGAGCTTGGCATATTTATTTCAGTTCTTTTTCCTGCAGTTCTTATTGGAGCTGCTGCATTTTCCTTCATTACCACTGAAACTAGGTCCACCTCTCCTATATTGAGCGAACCACCACCCGACATTTACAGTGACTGCTTGGACTGGCTTTCCTCAGCCTGGTCTCGGCTGTCACAATAAGACGAAACAATGGCATGCACAGTCCACAAACGATTTTTACATCACAGCAACATCTGACATGCAATTAGAGCAGCAAATTATGCAGTAAGTAGGAAGATTATTTTATTCAAGACAAGTCAGCTTACAGGGTCAGAGCTTATCCTGGTGTCCTTGGCTTTCCATGAACGGAGGGCACATGACTTCACTCCACTGTCTGGCAAACAGTCCATTGCAGAGAAAACCCCAGCAAATGCTGGTTCCCATTCATACAGCAGGGTGCACTGGAGCAACTGTGGGTAAAGTGTGTTGCTCAAGGTACAACAGCAGTGTCTGCAGCATGGACTCAAACCCCTCATTTTACAACATACTGCTGCCACAATTACTGAGTTAAATATTTAATTAAAAAATAATTGTGTTAATTTAATCTGATTTTTTCCAGTAAAATAACAATCCTAAAGCCCAGGCTGCTGATATATAGTTAGGAAGCTTACACCAATGTGTAAGCAAAAGGTGTTTGCCTGGTAAATTCTAAATGAATTCCACGGAGGCCACATGAGATTGACCCAAGGTAAGGAAGCCCAACCAAGGTTGAATTGTTGAACGTTTCAGAAGATTTATAATATTTTATGAAATCCTTCTGCTAAAGTAAGGCCTGAGCTGATTCAGAACAAGAAACCGAACAAAAAGAATGATCCGTCAGTTCTGAGAAATCAAATTTGTTTTGATTAATCACCTGTACTTTTATGCATAACCACAGTGTTGCTCATAGTCAGCTGTTCTGCAGGTAATGAATTGCAATAACAGCTCATGGGAATTATACTGAGCTATGAAATTTTCCATCTGTATTTCTCAGGAACCTCCACAAACTTAGCCGTGGATATAATGATATCCATATCATGGAAACAGACATGGTAATAAAGGAAATAAATTATTATTATTATTACAACTGTTTGGGATATCACTAGAAATCACTGAAAAAAGTAAAATAATTATAAATATAATAGCATAAGAAAAAACGGTGATTCTACTGAAAAAAAACAAGTAGAAGGTATTTAAAAGGAGACTAGTAGGACAGGAGCATATGAGACTTTTCATGCACCATTCCAAAGGAATATACCGATCTATGCAGTTACACTGCGCAGACAGTACTGTACATTGCTACATCAGCTGTTTTTGATATCTCCTGCAGCTTGCCAAGTACCTGCAAATCACACACTCGTGTCACCGGCGCTCTCGAGTGGCAGGATGCCATTTCAGAGGCCATCACAGGGGTCATGGAGCGATGAACTGTGCACCTCCCCTATTGATCCCATACAGATACCTGAGACTCCGCGCAAGATGAATCAGTGACTCTCAGCAAAAATGACTTCCTGTTTTAATGATATATTTCTGGGAATAAATAAGGCAATATATAACCAGATTGATTTTTGGGGGGGTCTTTTTTTATATTTTTAAAGGATAAAGGAAGGGTAATGCGTAAGGAGGGAGTAGATTTTTTTTCTTCAAAAAGGCTCTCATAATAACCCTGAAATGTGTCTGACTGCCTTCACCAAGGTGAACTATCTCGACATTTTAATTTAGATCTGATTATCCAAAGTTGGTAAGGCCTTCAGAAAGAACTAAAGACATAAAACACTATTAGAAAAATTGATTAAGACTGACGTACAGGTATTAAAAGGAATTATGGTTTCTATTTAGTTCCATTATAAAGGAATCATGTACCATTGATCAGTGTTTTTCAATCCCCAGTCCCACAGATCGTCTCTGGTCCCCATTGCAATACTGACCAGTCCTTGTGGTGACCTTACAGACTGTGCCAGCGAGGCACAGTTATGATGGATGCATTCATTTTTTTCTTCCATTGTTTTGTTTTTAGCCTAAGTGGTCTTCAATGAGGAAGTGAGAAATAACATCACTTTATTAGTCCTTTACAATTTCTTGCATTAGGAATTTGTTTTTACACATACCCCAGCTTGCTCTACATGAGACACACAGACACATAGATAGGGAGAGAGCTTGGGGTCTCTCAGGGGGCTCAGGTGCCCAACAGAGTAGGATTTATCTGCCGGCTGCGGGATTTGAACCGGCAACCTTCCAGCCACAGGCGCAGATCCCGAGCCACAGAGCCACCGCTCCGCCCCAGTTATAACAAACACTATAACAAATACTGTTATAGTGTAGATTGTATTAATTTTGGAAGACTGCAAAATGGGAAACATGTTACAGGTTATGCATTTGAAAACCTTTCCCCAGCTATGAAAAATCAGGGTTGGTGACACTTTGTTCAAAAGCCTATGTAGAGACAAATCACCAATATCTGAAATGTCTTTGTTCTTGACAACAGCTCATAGTCTGAGCTGGATTATGGATTTTTCTTATGCTCGTGTCTCAGCAGAGACCTTTGTCTTCCGTGAATTTCCAAGACTTTTCTATTTTTCCTAGTGAAAAAGATTGACATTATGCATAACATGATTCACTTGATTTAACCATTCAAACAACATGATTAAATCGAAACGATCAAGCCAGAAAGAAAGCCACCATTATAGAAAAATGAAGTAATTAGTTCTGCCTTGGAGAAAAAGTGACATTTTTTCCTCCATTAATACTGAAACATGAAGAAATTAAAGAGTACGCCGAGCCGGGCAGGGAAATACTGTTTGAAGCTCAGACAGGGGCACGGAACTTTAAACTCGCAGAGAAAAGGCAAATCAGGAGCTTTAAACAAACATATTAATATGACGGGCCAATAAAACAGACACATGCATATGGAAATTGCTTATTAAATTCTGAGACCAACAAAGATTAAGTGCAAGCTAGCTAATGTGCTCAAAGACATCAGGGTTATTGAGTATGGCCTTCCTTCTCTTTAACTCGGAAGATGTTTCTTTTCACTGCTGAGGTACTGATTAGACTTGACCAACAAGATCAGCGGGTAGCAGAGCCTTTTCATGTGCAGGTAATTTGAACTCGCGTGAACGATGGAGGGTTTAAATTAGGAGGGAGATTGGATGGGCCAGACAATGATGGAGTTTGTCTCTGTGTCTCTCAGAACCATGGTTGAGCTGTAA